GACCAAAAATCCTACCGGGTAACACAGCCAGATACACACCAGAAACTCAAATGAAACATTCAGACTGAACAGCTCAGATTCAACTCGGAGAAAAATCTGCCTCCCCACATTTCCCAGTTTTACACGGAATCACTCAAGTTAGGGGAAGGATATGTTTGAGTTTCAGGTCAATACATTTAGTTAGGATTTGGCTCATGAATCAGCAAATTGGTATATAGTTTTGTTGGACAACCTGACGAGACACAGGTGAAGGGCATTCAAGCATCCCTGGGGCTTTGTTGGTGGTGCACCTGCTTCCAGCGGGTGTGAGAACAGCTTCGGTCAGTTCCCACCCAGGTCTGGTGGCACCTCCATCAGACAGAGGAAGACTCCCTCTGGGTGCTTCCTTGGTGTAGACAGTGTATTTGATCGTTCTCTGAAAATGCACTGCATGCTGACAATGTGCCAAAAGCCCTGGATATACTCAACTGCGTCAGAGACCATAGGGTATTATTATAAATCGTTTCGCTACCTTCCTGACCCATTAGGGTTCACAGAAGGCAACGAATATATTTTATTTATCTTTGTATCTCCAGCACCTAGCACAGCTCCTGGCTCATGATCGACACATAATATGAATGAATGGATGAATGAATGTGTTCCAGCAGATGGAGGATCTTCTATGTGTACAGCCAGGGAGAGAAGGAAGAATCGGGGGATACGGTGTCTGTCTTCATGGAGCATCTCATGGACACAAGGAAAGGGGATGCAGATGTCAAAACAAACCATTAACCAAGTTAGTTGAAATTTGGTTGTGTTATAGGAATGATTTGTCCCCCGCACCCAGATTTCTACGTTGAAGCCCTAATCCCAGTGTGACAGTGTCTGGAGGTGGAGCCATTGGGAGGTAATTAGGTCGTGGGGGTGGAGCCATCAGGAATGAGATTAGCGTCTTTATAAGAAGAGACCAGAGAGCTAGCTAAATCTCTTTCCACCGCACGAGGCAGCCATCTGTGACCCAGAAGAGGGCCCTCGCCAGAACCCAGCCATGCTGGCACCCTGATTTTAGACCTCCAGTCCCCAGAACTGTGAGAAATACATCTGTGTGGTTTATAAGTCACCGGTCTGTGGTATTTGTTACAGCAGCCCAAACTGATTGACAGGTTGCATCAAAAGAAACATAAATTCTTGAAGACAAATTCCACGCCGGTCTGCA